TAAAGACCTGGCAGAAGAAAGTATCGAATGAGTGTTTTTTTGAATACATTTGTGTTTTAGTTTCGAGTTTCTTGAATCGAATATAGGTTTTTACGAGGTCCGACTATTAAATAACGAGACTGGTTACAAACAAGGGTTTTATTATAAAAATTATTCTAGATTCGAATGCTCCCCTTCAATATACTCCCCTCCCCTCACCACACACCTTTTAATACATTTTTTTCATTGATCGAAGCAGTGCTGGAAGTCTTCTTTGGAAGTCCTTTAGGAGTTCTACCGTTTTTTGCTTTACCGCTTCCATCGACTCAAATCGGGTCCCTTTCAAGGCAGATTTTATTTTCGAAAACAAAACAAGTCGCACGGTGCCGGTGTCGTTCTTGCCGTGCTGGCAAAACTGAGAAATATTAAGTCTGGTTGACAGTCTGACCCTCTGAACCCTTTCAGTCATCACGATACCGTTAATGTCGAAAAAAACGAATAACATTGCCTTGAATTTTGATTTGGACATCCTTGCTTTTTTGATTTTGGGCGATTCAGGCGTCTTCCAATGCATCAATTGCCGCTTTGTTTCAACATCGTATTGAAAAATCCACGTTTCGTCGCAAGTAATAAAGTATTTCATCAATCCGGGATCTTCTAACTTTTCAAGGGAATCTGAGCAGACCTGTTGACGCAAGAGCTTTTGGTCAGGAGTCAAGTTTTTTGGCACCAACCTCGAACAGAATTTTGTCGTGTGTAATTCCTCATGTAAAATTTTTCTAATCGTTTTTTTATCGGCGTTTACAGCCTCGGCAATCATCCGGATGCTTATTCGACGATCTGCACGTACAATTTGGTTGATTTTGGTCACTGTTTCTGTAGTTGAAACAGTGACAGGGCGACCTAGGCGCTGGTCATCTTCAGTGCTCTCTCGGCCATCACTGAAGCGCTTACACCACTCAAAAACGCGCACGAGATAGAAAATTGTCCTCATAAACTTCTTGTAACAATTTATAGCACTCACTCGGAGTTTTTTTCAGTTTAACGAGAAATTTGAGATTGATACGTTGCTTCTGTTTTTCGTCACACATGGTTTTCGACACGAGAAAAAACCACGTTCGTTTCAAACCGCTACCGCACAAATACTATAATAGTGACGAAAACGTGTTTTGGTTGTTTTGGTACGTGAATAGAGAAGATTCTAGATCCCCAACGCCCTCTAGGGCGCCATCTAGGCGCGCAGTCTAGTTATTTGATAGCCAGACCTCGTAAATGGATTGAAATTGTTTTTTCATTAACCAGATGCCGCTTAGTAGCAAACGAAAACTCTACGAAGCCAAAACTTGTGCGAACTAAGGAATAACAAGGTCTTACCTTTCAACGTGCACTTCCTAGCATGGGCAAAAATGAAACAATGATGAAGGGTATATGTGTTACTAATTTTTTCCAAGTCTATTTCTGTGTTTAAAGAGAATTCAAAAAGTAGACGTTTAGAATTTTCCGAAATTCTGTTTTATTCTATTAATCAACTAATTTATTTGGTAATTGCATCTGTTTCGGGTTACTTTTTTTCATTTATGTCTGCATATCGGAAATCAAGTAGGACAGTTTGTGTGTTATGCATGAAAATGAAGGCAAAACTGTAAACATCTTCTACTTCTCTATCATTGCATACAAAATGTGGTGAACTTAAAAATACAAGAAATACTATAAAGATTTGTAGATCATACACAAAGGTTCTTCCAGAAAAACTAAAAGAATTTTTGGAAACAACTACTTTCATATGAACATTAAATCAAACGGAAATAATTTTTACAATTCAGTTTATATTATGAACAATTATAATGGTATTGAAAGAGGTACAATGTATAGGAACCCTTCGCAACACAAGATATAAAGAGTGTCGATATAAAATGTCACTTACATTGAACACTATCATGCTAGGTGGTTTACTTTGAAGTTTCGGAATAAGACACTTGTCTCATCATCCCGTCAGCACCGTTATGAATAACAGTACACTCGTTTCTTTCAAATATTACAACTCTTTGTTACTACTTTTTACAAAGAAGTTCGAAACTACTTTTATATGAATATTGAATTAATTATTCAAAAAATACTTTTTTCTATTCAGTTTATGATAAAATGTTTCTATGGTAGCTGTGTTGAACATTTTCACAATTGCCATACCTACGTAATTCAAAATGAAAAATGACACTGAAAAATTGAAATTTCATACACTGTCATTTTTTAACTTTTATTGGTTGTGGAAAAACATTTATTTATATTAATTCATTTTCTTAGAAACACAAGATGTCATTTACAAAATCCAACTACGTAATTTGAAATGTGAATTGACATTGAGTTAGTAAGATTTCGTACACTGTCATTTTGCTCATTTTTGACGTTGTAGAAAAACAGATATTCGGTTTAATTTGGTTTCTTATAAACACCAGATGTCAGTCACAATTTTCAACGAAAATGTTGACACTGTTTCAGTTTGTCATAGATCAAATATTTGTTTACTCAATAGGATCTCGTTTATAACTTTTTTGTAATGTATGTTATGAATAATTTTCCTTCCGTACTCTTGAATTGAATAACGTCAATGCGACATTACATAACTTCTATTTTTAAATTATTTACTGACACCCACTTATTCATTTTCTGAAACCAATCAATTTTTTACCTGTGAGTGAAAAGGTCTCTGGAACAGAATATTAATGACTGTTCATTTTGTTTGAATCGGCTAATATGGAAATGAAGTACCATTTCTTGTTTTAATTTGCCTAACAAACAGCAAAAGATAAGCATAATTTTTATTTGTTAACATAAAGAAAATATACTACTCTACAAAAATTAAGATTTTTTTCAATGAATAGTGAATTTTGATGTATTTTTGTTTTTTGGCATATAAAGTATAAGCAAAATAATAAATCTGTAACGTCGTAATATCGAAATATATTTTGATTAATTATTTACAGAAACTTTGTTTATGATTGATATTTCTTAGTACGATATATATAACCTCACATGTGTACAATTCTTTTGGAGAAATTAACGTTTAGCGATGAACACGGGAGAAATTCCATCAAGACTTCATGATGATAAAAAAAATACCACTAACAATGATGGCAGATTTGTTCAGTTATTGAAACGAGATTATTCATCATACAGACATGAGAGCAAAAAGGTTAACTTCATCAGAATAATTAAAACAAACATTATGAGAGTTTTAGTTGTTTTCTGCACCTTTGAACTAATCACGTACCAAGGAACATCAAAAACTCAGTTGCGAACTATACCAGAAATTTAAAAAACATTTCGTTATTCAATGTTATTGACTTCCACTGCGAATTATTATTTTAAAATTATCAAATGGTGTTTACGGGGTCTGTTGAAAAAATAAGTGGAATTTTCATTTTTCTAAAAAAATTTGTAATCATCAATTTCTATTTTGTTTCCTTCAAAATAGTCCCCCTCAAATATAATACACTTGTACCAGTGTTTTTTCCAATTCTCAAAGCAGTATGTTCTTGAACTCTCTCAGCGATTCAGTTCTTATCTTTTTAATCGTCGCAAAACGCCCTCCTTTTATGGGTCTCTTGGGAACAGAAAAAGTTGCAGGGGGCTAAATCTTGTGATTACGGTGGCTGAGGCATGATTATCATATTCCCGGAGAAACCAGTGAGCAATGATATTTGATAGAACTTGAACTTGGTGTGTTTTTTTTGTCTTGGCTATCCTGGGCTCTTCCACTGGGACGATTGGAATTTGAATTCGATGTCATAACCATATACAGATGACTAGTCACCAGTATTGACCCTTTCAAGCAAATCTGCAAATCTGTTTTTTTGGTCAAAATTCAGCAATTTTTTTGCTGCCAGACGCTTCATGCACAAAATTTCCAAAAGTACCATCGGTTGTTGATATGCTGGGGCGTCCATCAGGGCGTGCGTCGTCATTCAGATCTTCTCGATGTTCTGTGAAGAGCTTGTACGAATTGTAATATTTTTCTGACTCAGAGTACAACCACCGTATGCCAGTGTCAACTTTTCAAGTGTTTTTGAGCACTCAATTTCATGTTTTACACAAAATTTGATGCAAATTCTTTGATCCAGTTTTTTTCGATACCAGAAAATCGCCAAACCCACAAACTGAACATGTTAAACATCAGAAACTGTGATGCTGGTACACTGGTTCAAGACCAGTGTACCAGCACGAAAAAATGAAAAATTACTAATCGAATGTACGTAGACAGGGAAATTTGAATATTTGAAGATGATGAAAAATCATACTATTTACCATTCACATCATATTCCAACTATTTAACCGAATTAGGTCCTTTGGTGGTGAACACTGTAACACATACTCTAGAAAAAGATAGGTCGAAGTACTTAGGAATCATTATAGCCAGGCACTCAATTACTTAAAAAAATTCAGATATCTTGCTGACTTCTGTACTTAACAGAGAACTTGAAAACATTATACAGAGTGGTCCAACGAAAAGTATGCACCTTGCTTTTCTCCTTTTTTTGTAACTTAACGCAAAAATNCAACGTTTCAAGTGTTTATGAGCACTTAATTCAATTTTTTACACAAAATTTGATGAAAATTCTTTTATCCATTTTTTCGATAGCAGAAAATCGCTGAACACTCAAAACACTCCTAACTTTTATGCCTCTCACCAACAAACTGATAGCTTAACAGCTGGAACTGAAAATATGTGCTAAACAGCTGAAACTGTGGACATATGTTCGACACAATTGTAACAACATTAAAACTAAAAAAAAAATCTCTATTCGAATGAACGTAGCCCACGAAATGTGAACATTCATCTTATTTTTATGACAGCCCTCGTATTTTAAGTTTTTTTTATATTAAATATGCTTCATTCTAAATTTATGTATACAGAAATATAGTACTTCCATGTAATTGTTGGCAATGTAATATCTAGGATAGTCGTAAGTGTTTTGTTCACAAAAACCTCTGCTTCATAAGTATATAATAACTTTTTTTTTCAGTAATAAAGCCATCGCTGATTACCTCAGCAGTAATGGATACAGGGACGCGCTCGAGGCTTTCAAGAAGGAGGCCGACATGCCGGGAGAGGTGGAGAGAAAATTCGGAGGTCTTTTGGAAAAAAAGTGGACATCCGTCATCAGGCTACAGAAAAAAGTGATGGAACTCGAGTCGAAATTAAACGAAGCCGAAAAAGAATACATCGAAGGAGCACCGACGAGGGGAAAACGTTGCCCTTCGGAATGGATACCGAGACCGCCGGAAAAGTTCTCTTTGACTGGTATGTTTTTCAATTATCATCTTGAAATGAAAGGAAATGATTAATTATAGTATATGTCATCATATTTTTTATATTGTATGCCTTGCTGAAAAATTATAATTCATGCAATTGTGACAGCCCGATCAGGCTAGCAAGGCGAATCCAGCAAAATTTCAAAAAAGAGATACATTAATTTGTAGCTAATTAGTTGCCAAAACAACGATTTTGTTGCTCGTGCCGATCCCTAGAAATCGCAAATAATGCTATCGTGATATCAAGGTAGCGAGGTAACTCAATAAATTATATACTTTCCCTTTGATCTTTACGGAATATTTAGTTGCTAAACCTTGGATATAGCGAAAAATTTTTAAATCTTTTTTTTTTAATTTTTCATGATCTTGCTATCTTCCCCTTCTGGTGAGCAACAAATTCATAATACTCCGTATTCCAGAAAATAACAGTTTCAAGATAGCAAGAACAGGGAGAATTAAAAAAATATTAAAAATCGGCCGATCAAGGCCAACTATTTTGTTGCTGATTCTCGGAGTGTATTTGAGTACCCTCCTGATGAGCAACAAATTCGAAACGCTTTTTATTCTCAGGAAAACCAGTATCAAGATAGCAAGATCGAGAAAAGAGAAAAAAAAATCGGCCGATCGGTTTCACCTATTTTGTTGTTGATACTCAAGGTGTATTTGAGTACCTTCCTGATGAGCAGTAAATTTAAAATACTTTTAATTCCAAAGAAAAGCCGTTTCAAAGTAGCAAGAATGAGGAAACTGAAAAAAAAAATTGAAATCGGCCGATCGGTTTTAAATATTTGTTGCTGATACTCAAGGTGTATTTGAGTATACTCCTGGTGAGCAACAAATTTGAAACACTTTTTATTCTGAGGAAAACCAGTTTCAAGATAGCAAGAACGTGGAAAATAAAAAAAAATGAAAATCGGCCGATCGGTTTCAACTATTTTGTGGCTGTTACTCAAGATGTATTTAAGTTTACTCTTGGTGAGCAACAAATTCAGAACATCTTTAATTCCAGGAAAAAAACAGTTTCAAGATGCAAGATCATAAAAAATTTTAAAAAATATTTAAACATTTTTTGCTATATCCAAGGTTCAGCAACTAAATATTCTGTAAAGATCAAAGGGAAAGTATATAATTTATTGAGTTACCTTGATATGACGATAGCATTATTTGGGATTTCTAGGGATCGACACGAGCAACAAAATCGTTGTTTTGACAACTAATTAGCAACTACAAATTGAATTAGAGCTACAAATTGATGTATCTTTTTTTTTGCAATTTTGCTGGATTCGCCTTGCTAGCCTGATAGGCCTAATTGTGACAGCATATGTGCATTATTCAAGAATTCAAAGAATAACACGAGTTAAGTTCAGAAAATAACGGGAATATTTTTGGGCAAAAATATTCATTCATTTGTCCACATTAATATTGCCTCTCTTGATGTTTTCGTGCACTTACTGGTGGAGAGAGGGTCAACACTAAGTCAAAAGTATTTCAATTTAACCCGACGTTTCGGTGTGCTGAAAGTTTAATTAAAATGGTGTATTCCTAACATTTTGTATATTACAAAAATTACACTTCTTATTGGTTGAGATAAATTTCGTAGATAAACGAACAATGCAAACAGACTACCTTGTCACCTAATAACTGGCAAACATAAACATATTCCAGTAGCATAGCCAATAGTTATTGAAATAAAATTTGTAAACAATAACAAAGAAACGACAACCCTCAGAAGTCGAAACTTGTGCGAGCTAAGGATTAACGAGGTCTTACCTTTTAACGTGTGATTCCTAACACGGGTGCTTTAGGTCCTATGGATTTTAGTTAGAAATAAATATACATTACACATTTGATAACTTTTACAAACATGTGTTTCATTCATCAAGTGTCCTGCTGTTCTGATTGGTTAATAATGGACTGGTGAATTTTGTTTCTGCGATCTGTATCATGAAATGTAAGAACATCATTGGTTGTAATGTTTATAAATTTCAAAACTGGAATGATTAAGGATGGATCCATAATGATTATTTTATTTCCGAGAAATGTTGGATATCAAGCCCCAGAAACAGGAATTCAGATTTTCTATCTGTCTTTTATTTATACTATAATTGTTTTTTATTTATAGCATTTCCCAATGAGAGTTTTTTTTCAGAATAGATTCTTGAGCATTAATATTGGTATTATCAAAATTGAACTGAAGCAAATCGTTAGAGGCAGGTTCTGCTAATGAAGTTTTATTTTTCTTTAGTAACAAATTGTGAGATATAGACTGTATCACAATTTCAACATGGGATCTTGTAATTTATATTAGTTCATAATTCAAGTGGAGTGTCAGTTTTGAGTTTCGAAAAAACTTTTTTGGTAGTATTTTCGTTTTGAAAAGCTATTTGTGTATTTCCGTCTTTGAGAGTGTATGCACATTTGTACAATTTTGTTGGATAAATAAAAATTTTGCCATAAACACGTCGAGAAATTCCATCAAGACTTCATGATGAT